GAAGGTTAACTTACCAAATTCTGATTATTGATTAAGAGCTGGAATGTAGACAACATCGGCATAATCATAAAATAATGAAATAACGAGTAATTGAGAAGAAAAGAGTTTTCAAATACAAGGAAAGAATGTAACCAAGGAGACAAAGTAGACGGGCGTAAGCAGCTCGACATTTGACGGGTACGTGTGATTCGAATGTCCATAAAGAGTCAACATGGACACCAAGTGTGTTAATAGAGGAGGAGCGAGGAATTGGAACGGAGTTAAGAGAAATATCGAAGGATTGAATATGGGATAATAATGTTGAGAAACCGACAATTAGCGAGAATGATTTAGAGAGATTTAAATGCAGTGAATTATTAGTAGATCGTTCGAGAATAAATTTTAGATCTTTATTTAAAGCAGAACACAGTCTGGAAAAGCATCGAATGGGTGAAACAAATTTGAAAAGAATTACGTCGTCTGCATACATGAAAAACTTAGGAAACTTAGGGAACTTAGGAAAAAAGTTAGACAAATCAGAGATAAAAATATTAAAAAGTAAAATTCCGTGAATGGAATCCTAAGGTACTCCAGAAAAAAACAGCACGAGAAGAAGAAAAAAGAGAAGAGAGAGAGACTGCATAGCTTGAGTTTAACTAAAAAATAGGTCATGGTATGAAAGTAGGTTAACGGTATGGAAAGCTTTCTATAAAAATGTTTTATAATTTTGTATTTGCCTATAATTGTGAATTTTTAATGCTCTTAATTAAAAAAACGATTAAACGAAAGAAAAGCAATACTAAAAGATCAAGTATTATTGTATTATATTGGAACCAGGAGTACATTTAAAAATTTGTACCTTAAAACGACTGAGGTTAATGAGAATTAATGTAATGGTGGCTAACGATAAGATACTGTAAATGTATATTTTCGTGTCATTTTCTCGCGAATATAAGTAACCTGGATAGTAATAGAAGTATATCAGAGAGCTCCATTTGGCCAAAGCATATAGGTAAGAAAGATACGCCCTAGGTTGTCCACGAGGATATTCGATCATGCACAAATTACGAAACGATCCAATGATCAATAATGGTGCCAGTGCTCTTTCTAATGTCTCTGCCATCGTTTCTCTGAATCGTCGGCTAGTATTTTAACTGAATTAGACATGCTGCATGAGACACGTTTTAATATTTTTTATAAGATTTTCAGAAATAGTTTTCGCAGTTCCTTTAGAAACTTTGTGAGAACTACACTGTAAAATTTATACATTGAGGGATAACGTATGTAAATGCTATTAAACCAACAAGTAAAGAACGACAGAATAGACACAGATAATCTAGATTAGATTGCCTTTCTTTTCATGTATAGTAATTTTTATTTATAGGTACGTAGATTAAGGCCATCAGTTGTGGATCGCTCTTGAAAAAAAAATTCATATTTTTATTCAGAAAGATATCAAACGTTTTATGAGATGTTTAGTAATTATGATTGGTCACATAGATTACATTATGGATGATCTTATTTCATTTTGGTACTGTCTTGTATGTTTTTTAATTTTAATTAAATTAAGTAATGACAATTATCCACAATTAGATTCTATGTACTAATTGCGGATCAGTTCACCAAATGTTTTATCCATTTTGGATTTAAATTCAATTGAGAGCATGATATCGATTTTTTAAATGAAATCTAATGATATTTATTACCTCCTATAAAAGCCGTAAAGCAATTTTGGTAAATATGCATTTTAGATGACACGTCACCGATTCGAATGTCCTTTTGATGTAATGTAGGGGAGAATGTTCTGAATGATTACTCATAAAAAGTGCGGGACGGTATTGATTTAGAAGATATAGTAAATTAAAGTTCTATAATATGTAGAGAATAAATTTGAAAAATAATTAAACAAAAGATAAAAATAAACTTGAAATACATAAATACATACTAAAAAATGTTTTTATATAAGAGTCAAGATTTCATATAAGAGATAAGTATTTATCATATTTGTGTTCTCATACAGCCTATATTTGTGTTCTCTGATCGAATTTTTGAAATTTATTAATTATACTATCAATGTTGTACGAAGTAAAGACAATATTTTCTTTTGACATACAAAATTAAAACTAATTTATAAAGCTTTTGCAATTGTTAGTATGTATTACATACAAGCGATTCAAAATATATTTTAAAAATAATACAATTGCTGATTTATAAAGTCTAAATTTTTTAAATAATTATTCGATAAAATTTATGAGAGTGTCTGAACTTCTATGAGCGGTAGTGTACGTACACGAATAATAATCGGCGCATCCACACAGAGAAAGATTCTTTCCAGGGCAGAGCCAGGGCAAAACCAGGGCAGAGCCAGGGCAAAACCAGGGCAGGCCCAGGGCAGGACCACAGAGGGGCCAGGGCAGAGCCAGGGCAAGGCCAGAGCAGGCAAAGGGCAGACGCAAATCAGGACCACAGAGGACCCAGGGCAGGGCCAGGGCAGGGCCAGGGCAGGACCAGTGCAGGCTCAGTGCAGAGCCTCAGAGGGGCAAGTGCAGGCCCAGGACAGGGCGACGGTAGACCCAGGGCAGGCCCAGGGCAGGCTCAGAGCACGACTACAGAGGGGCCAGGGCAGCGCCAGGGCAGGGCCAGGGCAGGCTCAGGGCAGGCCCAGAGCAGGGCCACAGAGGAGCCAGAGCAGGTCCAGGGCAGGGCCAAGGAAGGACCAGGACAGGACCAGAATCTTTCCATTCAAAAAAATGTTTTTTTTCTATTGAAGAAAAAATTGATTGATTTGCTGTCAAAGAAAAATCTTTACTCGCGAGCCTACTCCTACAGAAAGATTTTTCCGATTTAAAGAAATGTTGCTTTGCCATACGATTAAAAAAAAATTGTTTTTTATTTGAATATGTTTTTAAATAAAATAAAAAATTTCTTTGATTTAAAAAAATTATGTTTCAGTTAAAGAAATGATGTTGAAATCAAAGAAATTTTTTCTTAAATCGTATAGCAAAGAAACATTTCTTTGAATCGAAGAAACCTTCTCTGAGTGCGTGTAATACAAACTCACGAGTCAAGAAATAATTTCTTTTGCCACTTCTGTGGCAAGGAACTGATAAAACGCTATCATTTCCATACCACTTTGCAGTAGATAGCATGGCGCATTTTTTTTAAAGTGGTATCCCACTTTTGCATTTTAATGCAAGAATTGTTCGAAGTGCCTCCCTCGTTCTTATAACAGATTTCGGCTCTTCAAGTAATGTTGCGCGTCGCGAGGTGTGCCATTTCTGGCGTAATGGTATTGAAAGCTGCGAGAATTGCTTCTCACATCTCAGCTTCAGTACCATGACGAATATACTCGACTAAATCTTTGATGTGACCCTAAACGAAATAGTCGAGCACGTTAAAATCCGGCCAAATGATTGGGCTACCTCGACCCGTACACCTGTCCGGATAGCGCGTGCATAATACATATCCGCCGCGAAAAATGCGCAGAAGTTCCGTCATGTTGGAAAATGAGTTTCTCCTGTTCGCAAAGAGAACGTCTTCGAAAAGGGCGGGCAACTTATTTTCCAAAAAGTCGACGTATATTTCTCCCGTTAGGCGTGGCGGGAAAAAGAAGGGACCGATCTGAAAATTGTCACAAGAGTGTGATTTTAAAAAGTGTTTTTGCGTGCGTGCGTGCGCGCGTGCGAAGGTTGCTTCGTCCGTCCACAGGATGCGGTCGGGGAAAAGGACATTCCGCCGACACTGCGCGAGCAATCCTACATTATATGCCGCCGTTAATATTGTTTAAGAACAGCGAGAAAACTTTATAAAATAATAAAAATACCTTCACAAAAACAGATGCGTGGCTCTTCATCTCGCGCAAGAAGTTGTTGCACCCGCTGATAGTGAGATGGGTGCAATCCGTTCTCGCGTAGAATACGATGCACCACATGCCGAGAAACACTAAGCACATGAGCCACACGACGTATGCTGTATCCGGGGTTTATCTCGAATGCTCTCAGGATTCTCTCCTCCATGTTTACGCATGCACGTATTCTGCCACCACCGCGATCATGCCGAATCCGCAACAGATCCTGTATTCCGTAAACGTCGAATACATCTCAAGATGACCTTTTTATTAGGATGTGCGCGTCCAGGAAACCGTTCCATATAAACGGGCGGCGGTACGAGCGTTTCTTTATCGTACATAATTATCATTTTAGCGTAGTCTTGAGCAACTATAGTTTATTTGCACGAAATAGACGCTCATGTCATTTGTTAGTCTCGCTCCTTTTTACATCGACCACGATCGCGTGGACCGAGACCAACAAATGACACGAGCGTCGATGTCGTTTGTTAACAATTTGTTGCTGTCTAACGCTAGACACGAATTCAGTGTCTTGAGAAACGAATACACTACTGTATCCATTTCGTGCCTTAACATTATATAAAGAAAGCACTCAAAGAAAGGTTTCTTCGATTCAAAGAAATGTTTCTTTGCTGTACAGTTCAAGAAAAAATTTCTTTGATTTTAACATAATTTCTTTAATGGAACATCATTTTTTTAAATTAAAGGA